CAGTCTACTCTTTTTAAAAAGTTATTTATGTTAACATAATTACATTTACGGAAATTGTGTTTTGAGTGAAAATGTTCTTTAAAAGGTTTTACAAAAATGTCTTGTATATCAATGGTAAAAGGTGGGTGTAAGGTGTCGACTTTAGACAAAGGGTCAGAATGGTTGATTTCCAAGCATAAGTTTGAGAAACATAGATCCAGTATATTGTTACAACGGTTGGGGAGCAAATTATATTGATTCATGCCAAAAAAACATAAATCCTCGGCCAAAACACTGGCAGCTTTTTTGAATATCAGCTCGGCCAGAATGTATTGTCGACCATCCTGAGGAGCTCCATTTTAAACAAGGTACGTTAAAATCGCCAACTATAAGATAATGGTCAGAAGGTGCCAGTAGGTAAAAGCGTACAAAGTTATTTCGGAATTCATAAATACAATCGGTTAATATGTTATCATTTGGTGGTATATAAACTAAAATAATATTCAAGTTACAATTTGAATTGAGAAAACGTGCCGATAGACTCACACATAATGATTCAAATCCTTTACAATCCCAATCATTACGACGCGTAGCGCATAGTTCTCTTCGAGTACAGATCATTACCCCTTCACCCGTCCTTTTTTCCGTTGTTGCTAAGTCACGGTCACAGCGAAAAATATCGAACCTACCATCACAAACTTCGCTATCAAGAATATCACTCTGCAGCCAAGTTTCAGCCAAAAGTATAAAATTATAATCACACGATAAAATATTATTATACAAATCTAAGCATTTCGTACGGAGGCCACGAACGTTTTGGTAAAAAATATTTAACTTAGTAATATTATTCATAGTTAAGGAATAAATTTGAACTTATAAAGTTTTTTCATTAACTTCCCATACACTCGGGCCCCCAATGTCAAATAATAATTAACAAGAGTAATTAATTGGTATTCTATTTGTCTTAAAAAACCTAAACTTAATTTGATTTTATAAGTATTAAGGACGTATGAAAAATAATTAACGGTTAAGTAAAAATAAGTAAAAATGTTTATATTCTCAAAGTTAATTGTAGGAGTATGTTCCAAGTTTAATACTGGTATGAAATAGTAACGATTTATAAAATAATATTTAAAAGTTAGTGGGAAATAGGTAGAATAGAGTATTATTATATATATAAATAACAACAATAAAAAAATATAATATGCGAATTTAGATAAAAACAAATGGAATAAGATGATAATAAAAATATTATAACAATAATAACAATATTCCTTACCGTAGGATGTGGTACATAACATTATAAGTAATAACAAGTATTGATAAATTATATAATAACTACGAAGACACATTAGATGAGCAAGTTTTATGAAGAATAAACTATAAAATAGTCAAATTACTTTTTGAAGATCTACAGAGTTTTTTATACACAAGGACGGACTAATATCATTCTTCCTAACAAAAATCTTGCCATCACGTATCCATACAAATTTGTATTGAGCGACTTTTGCTTTTTCCCTTGTACTTTTATATAATAACTTGTTGGCTGGTGTGAGATGTTCATTTAAGTAAATCTTCTTCATTTCACCAGGAAAACCTATATCACTCAACCTCAGTCCTTTCTTGGTACGAACAGCAGACAGAATGGTGTCCCGTAATAATTGAGAACTCAGCTTTACGACAATAGCTTTTGGACGTCCAGAAACCGCACTAAATGGGCGAGTTCTAGTAATATGGATAACGTCAGTAGAAGACAGCTCAACTCCCAGAAAATTAGTAATATTTCTTAAATAAAGGGACAGGTCTTCATTTGACTTTTCAGGGATGCCAGATATCTCAAGATTATTCCGTCTGGCCTGTTGTTCCATGTATTGAATTTTTAATTCAAGATTTTGTATCTGAGTGGATAATTCAGTGTTTTGAGAACTACAAACTTCTAGTGCTTGTAACCGGCTATCAAATAAGTCCTGTCTCTGAGAGGAACAGCTAAAAGACCTCTCCATTTCTGTGAGACGTATATTTGTTTCAGATAGCGATTTCTTCATTATGTCGTTATCGTCTGTCAATTGTTTTAAACAACTATTAATCTGAAATAAGTTTGAGGTAATATTTGATAGCTGATTGGTAAATGCCGAGTTAATAGCTTCTGAAATACTGTCAAAAATTTTATCATTCCATAATTTCGTCTGTTGCTCGAACCTACGCTCGAAACACGTGAACACATCTTTTCCAATTTCGCATTCCGGTTGCTTACGTTTGCGTATATTTACCAAAGATTCTTTGTCTACCGACACCGATATGTCAGGATTCGATGAGAATATGTTAGGCGGCGTGCGCTGGAGTGCCATTGTATATAACAAAACTAACTGCTATATTATGCATATATATGTTACTACAGAGTCCATTATTGATAACTCAATGGGCTGATCACTACTATTCTGTTTTTAAACATACTATATGTATGAAATGTTATGTTGTAAATTTTTTTACAGTATGTTGAGTATAGAGAATCGGAGACCCGTTTTACTGGAATCCATCTTAGTCCTCAGCAAATGTAGATGTCCATGGGCCATAGCATCCACTTGCCGTCAGGTGGACCGTGTACTCGTGTGTTTCCATTGTTGTGGTAATGCATTAAAGAAACCACTGCTTCTGCGGTGTATTATAGTAACCAAGGGTATGTTCCGAAATACAACGCAATGTACTGTCCAATGCAAATGACGTCATGAATCGACGCTATACTGGTGATTCGTTCCAAAGTATTGGACAGTTTAGGACGTCATACTTTTGCGCCATTTGGAAAAGTGTTGGCGATTATATTGTCATTTTGTGCTCCAAAAATCATTATATTCTCTTAATGGATATACCATCAATTATTCTATAATTTTTTGTATTTGAATAAATATAAACAAATTCTGACATGCTTCATTCTGCAAACGCACAATTAAAAATTGTTTTATTATGGCCGGATATCCGACACAATATGGCGGCGGCCCGCTAGTACAATAAAGTGTCAAATGATACGTCATTTGCATTGGACAGTACACTGCGTTGTATTTCGGAACATACCCCAAATCTAAGCAATACATTTTGACAGCTGTCAGACTTATTGCACCAAGCATGCCAACCAAAAAATAGGAACGTACAATATTCGATTATTAAAAAAATCGATATCGATTATTTAGAGTTAGTAATAATTTATAGTTTGGTTTGAATAATACCAGATTAAATTAAAAACGGATAATTTGAAACACAAGATTTATCATTTTCTTCGTATTTGTTGTAGCTGCCTATTTTTAGAGGCACAATTATAAAAAAAAATTAGATTGAAAATAGATTAAAAATAAATTTATTCAATCACTTTCAGTACAACTACTTGAGCTGTCGTTTTTTAGATTAATTATTATTTGATTTTCAATAATGCATTCAAAATTAATGTCTCTCGAAGTCATCCGTAATCTTTTTTTTTTGTTTTTTTCAACCACTTTTGCCCAGTCATCGTTTTTGAAATGGGCACATCCTTCAACGAATATAGAAGAAACAGACCAAAAAGTTACAGCCCAAAATAAGAAGACAAACACAAAATCACAAAATTAATCACAGTAAGCTCCCGAAATGGCGGGAGATTGAAATTGCGTAGTGGTTTTTTCAGCGCGGCCTTTGGTATATGAGTTTTTTGCCTACACAAAGGACAATGGCGAAATAATAGGTGATGGAATTATTAAGTGTCTCCCTAAGTCACCATTACAGATATCAATAAAATAATTTACTATAGAAAATCTAATCATACACAATTCAAAACTTAATTGACTAGTTGTTGTAGTTATTACGATTCGCCAGTTACGACAGACGAAGATCTTATAACATACAGCCAAGTTTGACGTGTATTTTATTCAGAAAACTCTTCTATATATAATAATGCGTTCTTTAAGGATTCATTCTGTGCTAGTAACTACCCTATATAAACATATATGAAAATTATGTTGACTAGTTGGTTTTGTAACGATTTGCCAGTTAAGGCGTTTTATACCGTACAGCCTAGTCTGATGTGTATTTTGTTTCAACTGGAATATCTCTAATTCCTGACTTCTTGCAGTAGTATGACCGAAGAAAAAAATGTTCAGGATCTTAAACTATATTTTTACATATTTTCCATTTGTCAACTATATTTTTACATATTTTCCATTTGTCAACTATGTATATTTTTACATATTTGCCATGTGCAAGAAAAAAAGTCAACTAAAATTCGCCATTGTCCTTTACGTTGACAAAGTAAAAAAAAATAAACTTGTTTTATTCATGATTCATGTAATTTAAGGAGTTTTAAAAATAAAAATTTAATTAAACAAATATTACAATAAAAATAATGATTCGATTATTTGAATATTTTTAACGATTATTTGAATCTTTTTGCCGATTATTTGCATATCAATGAATTTTAATCATCCAAACATTACAGTAAGGCACATAGCGACATATCATTGAAACGACGTCAAGTAAAAACGTTGATACAGCTTATTTTTTTTAATATTTTGCTTTATTTGAAAGATTCGAATGTAAATTAGCGATAAAAAACTAAACACGTTGTAATTAAATATAAATAACTTCATAATTCTTCGGATTTAGGTAAAGGGTTATTGTAAATCGTATGAGTACGCTTGTGCAAAGTTATTGCGGAATGATTAATGTGAAACGTCAAAAGGTATTTCTTAGATTTGGGTGACTATTACAGTAAACAGCACTTTGCACTGATGTGTTCCGGTCTGAAGGATATAGATAGTCGGCATAGTTACAGGCTGTGAGGAATCCAATAAGTATTCAGAGGGGGAGACTACTAGACAAATGAGAAAAGAGATTATTTGCCATGAGGTGTTTGGCTCGATTTGGGAGCTGATGTTCAGCAATTGCGTTTACGAGCATTAAATCAACGAGGCAGTCAAGGACGTAGGTTGTTAGTCGTTGTGTAGGCTAAGTGTGTAGTGTTGGCTAGTGTAGTTGTGTAGCGTGTAGTGCGTGTGCAGGAGAGCATGGTGGAGTGGGTGCTGCGGTGGGCTGGCTCCAGGCCTTGGCTGGCGGGCGCAGGCGCGCTGCTCGCCTTCGCGCTGCTGGCCTTCGCCGCCTACTGGTGCTGCGGACCTTCCGCGCACGTGAGTACACCTTACACGTACACACACACGTACACGTACATGCATCTGCTGCGGGCCGCCGCGATCGTCAATACCGAGGACGCGCACACACGTACACACATACGTTTGCTGCAGTCATTCCACCGGGCACGTGGATACTACGCACGCGTGCGGAAATGCACGTACTACGTACGTATACAAGCACGCGCACGTACACGTACATACATTTGCTGCAGGTACACCGAGCATGGAAGTACTGCGCACACACATGTACACGTAAAATTACATGCATATACTTATACATACACGTGCACGCTTGCCGTGTATCTTCCATTGTATTACCCGTGAGTATTACACACACGCATACACACTCATACTCGTACACGTCTGCTGCAGACTTTCCATCGCGTCCCGAAAAGTATTTTTTTTACAGAAAATCATTGTTTTATTGATATACTTTTTGAATAATTAAAATGAAAAAAAAAATATACCTAAAACGATTGACCCTGCAGATCATTCCTGGACCTTGCCGATTATTTTCGAGCGCAAAGCTCGAAAATGTGCTTAATTTTCTTTTAGGTTTTTAGTTTTTAAAAATCTTTGAAACAATCCGACTGATTGACTTGAAAATCTATTTATTATATCATTCTTGAGAATGCTACAATAAATAGATTTTGTGATTGTGTGATTTTGTGAAACGTGTAATTGACACCTATCCAGAAAATTGTTAATTTTATTTTAAATTCCGAGCAAAGTTCAATCACTCATACATAAATCAATAATATTATACATAAATCACACAGCTTGCATAGATGATAAGAAGAATAATGAATGCAATAAAATGTTTTGCGTTCGCGTTTAAGCATGACCTGACCGCACATGAGCCCGAACGAGCCAGGGTTGTGGCGCCGCCGCCTGCTCCAGCTTGCGAGCTACTGTTACTGAGAGTTCCTGTTTCGACAGTTCACACAAACAACACTTTCTGCTGTATCGAATAGGCGGTCAACATACATACCTACATTACACAAAAACACACTTTCACACTCGGAACAATAATTGTTTGTAACCTATTAAAAACACCTGTTCTGCGAGGGATTCAAACCTGTAATCTCATTTTATAATCTGTTTCTTTTCAGTTTGAGAGCGGTGAGTAGGTCTGAAATGACTATGAGTTGCAAGGAAATGTTTTTATAATTTATTTATCTACAGTTAAATTTTTAGACTAATATGACCTTTTTATTGTCACGATCCCTAAGCTCGAAACAGTATTCTAACCCACATAGCCCCACAGATCGATAAAAATAAGTTATAATTTGAATAAATCAATTCACCCAGTTTCTTATTATGTACTACTATTTCATACCAAGACTGCAGAAGTTGCGAAAAAATTGTAAAAACAACATGACATATCAGATGATAATTATTAAAAAAAAAGTATTTTGCAAAAAGCAGGAGTTTTCGGACAATTAAGATGTGGCAGATAATTTTAATCAATAGATTTAAATATGTGTTCATGATAATTATAATCTATACATTGAAAAATTGTACGGGACTAAAATGTATAAATCCTTATAAATTACAGAAAAAAAAACACATTTTACGTTATAAAATTATTAAAAAAGACTACTTTGCACAAAGTAGCTGAATAGTAGATATTTCATACAATGGCTAATAATCATACGTTTAAATTAACATATTACTAATATTCACATTTTTCCAAATAACAATTCAGCTGATTTGTTAATGAAGTTTAAATTCCCAGACAAACAAGAATTGTATAAAAAGTTCTCAATTATACAGGAGCCGGAAATGGAGTACAAGAAGACTGATGCTATGACCGAGGACGATCCTCACCAGTCGGACACGGAGGAGCATGCGCCTGAGACTCGCCCGAAGGCCAGCAAGGCCAACCTCGAGGGACCCGAGCCCGTGGTGGACTCGCCACCGGACCAACCTGATGACCAGGATGCCGTTGTCGACTCCACTGAGTAAGTCTTCAAATATTCATATTTTGTATGTTTTTTTTCTCTAAAAAATTTAAAATCAAAGGAGACGGTCCATTTTAGGCCTAGTCTTTGTACACTATACCGTAAAAAAACGAAAAATTCAGGAATTTTATTAAAAATAAAATAAGAGAATAAATCAAACTAAAATGACTTGCTAAAAATAAAAATGCCTTTCCAATTATAAAATTATATGTCAAATGTCATGTCTGGCAAGTGACTTGAGTCCAATTGAGTCATGGAATAATGTAGACGGTGTGATATTTTATTTATTCCGATCTTGTTCGTGCAGTTGCGAACTCGTCGCGAATGCGTTTATTCTGTTTCTTTTGGATTTCTTTGGCGATTTGTTTGTTTTTTTTTTTCATTTGGACTTTGGATCTCTTATTGCTTGTTTGACTTGGCTTCAAAATTTTGATTTCATTGACATCAGACAGATGTCCATTTTAGTGATTCAAAATGTGATTCTACATCTGTAGACTAGGCATCAAGAACCACATGACAGTTGACAGCTTAAAACGTCATCAATTCGCCATTAGTGTTGCAGTTTTTGGTAAGAATAAAATATTACTACCACAGAAATAAAGGCAAAGTCGTGGATTTGAATGCTGAAAAGTGGTGTAATATATTATTTTAATTTATATCTCTATTTGTACAAAACCAGGCCTACGCTTCATACAAATTTGGACCGTCTCCTTTCAACTTACAGTCCACCTTATGATAAGTGGCTATTACCCTTGGTCTGTGATCAGCTTTTTAACATGCTTTAATACTTGATAGTAAGTGGCTATTCTACATAGGGTGTTTGCTGCTAGGCGGGTGTATGGGTAGGTAGGTTCTACCCTTACACCCTTGTCCCAAATGTAAAGGTTGGTTACCTACATATGATTTTTTTAAATGAAAAAAAAAATACCCCCAACGTTTCTTTTAATTCGAAATGACTTTTTTGTTTTGGGTGTAGTGGCACAAAAAGAAAATTTGTTGTATTCTCCAAAGTCTTTTAGACCCACTGACGACCATAGACGCGGCCAGGCCGCCGCGGCCATGGTCGCCGGTACGTAGGCAAGCTCGACATGCGGACGGCTGTAAAATTGCAGTCGGCTTCCAAGGGTGTGTCAAGATGGACGTGCAGAAGATAATCACGCTAACTGTGCTTGTGTATTTACGAGGGTGGATTGAAAAGTACTCGGCCTAACACAGATCCATTCAATTCTAAAAATCAAATCTACCCACATTATTTAGTTCAGTTCAGACTAGTTCATTGTGTGAAGTTCGAAACGTGTGCGATAATTAGTTGTGATTTTATAAATTTATTAACAAAGTAATCGGACATAATTTCCGCGAATGGAGCAAATCGAGCAGCGTGCCGTCATTAAGTACCTCCATAAGAAGGGGCTATCATCAAAAGCCATCCATGATGACATGGTCAGTACATTAGGCGATTGTGCTCTGTCATATTCATCCGTCAAAAAATGGATAGCAGAATTTAAGCGTGGTAGAGAGAGTGTGAAAGATGAACCCCGCTCTGGAAGGCCTTCGACGTCAACTACTGACGAAAATATTAAAAAAGTACTCGATTTAATAATGGGAGACCGCAGATTAAAAATTAGAGAGATAGCCGAGATTATAGGCATCTCTTATGAACGAACTCAAAACATCATTGTCAACGAGTTGGGTTTCCACAAGGTGTCTGCGAGGTGGGTTCCGCGACTGCTTTCAGTTAAACAAAAAAGGACGCGATTGACTATTTCACGCGACTGTTTGGAGTTATTTGAAGCCGATGCAGATGATTTTTTGAATCGTTTTGTTACTATGGACGAAACATGGGTTCATTACTGTACACCGGAAACAAAAGAACATTCAAAACAGTGGAGAAGACCTGGTTCACCACCCCCTAAAAAAGGCTAAGTCGATTTTGTCGGCAAATAAGGTGATGGCTTCAGTATTCTGGGACTCGAAAGGTGTGATTATGATTGATTATCTTGAAAGGGGTCAGACTATAAACTCTGATTACTACTGCACCTTACTACGTCGTTTACGAGAGGAAATAAAAGAAAAACGTCGAGGAATGCTCAGAAGAAAAGTCCTGTTTCATCAAGATAACGCCCGTGTTCACACGTCAGTACAGTCAATGGCTGAAATTCACAACTGTGGCTTTGAACTGTTACCGCATCCGCCGTATTCACCTGATCTGACACCATCAGACTTCTTTCTGTTCCCTAACCTAAAAAAGCACTTGGGAGGTCAAAGATTTTCGACAAACGACGAGGTCAAAGCAGCTGTAGACGCATATTTTGACTCTAAGGAAGAATCATTTTTTTTTCAACGGTCTAAATGCTTGGAAGGGGAGGTGGCAAAAGTGTATTGAACTTGATGGTGATTATGTAGAAAAATAAAAATATAACTGCTTTAGTATGTTTTTATTTTCTTGGTTAGGCCGAGTACTTTTCAATCCACCCTCGTACTACGAAAACGAAAACGAAAGATTTCACGTAAAAGACAGTTTTGGGTGCATCCATTACTTTGCGAGAGAAAGACTAAAGGATTATATTATACTTATTTTTTGGATTTAAAAATGTATGAGAAGAGATTCTTTAATTACATGAGAATGTCAACGAATACTTTTAACCTGTTACTGGATACAATAAAACCAAAAATTACTGGAACTGGTAACAACTATCGGAAATGCATTACAGCAGAAGAAAAATTAGTGATAACAATAAGGTAAGCTTTTTCTTTTTTAAAAACAGAATGTTTAAAAAATACGTGATTTATTTTAAAGGATGTTTCGGAATGGAGTATTGTGTACAGGGAAAATAAAAATAATGTGATAGGGCCTTTTTTTTACTTAAACTGCTTAATGGATTTTTTTGTAAATTTGAATTATACAAGACTCGATTCTGAATCACCACTATTGTGTTTTTCACAACAACCTGTATAATTCATTGACCATGGTTTTGCCACTTTAAATAATTTATGAACAATACTACTTTACGACTTTGAAAAGGAGAGGAAAAGGGCTTGCTTATAACTATGTTTTTAAATAATAAAAAACTGAAGTAGATAATCAAATTATTTGTATTTTCGTAACTTAAAAAATGGCAATTGTGAACAATTAATCATTCAAATTGGGAAATAGGTCTATCATTTCTGAATTTTGGGAAATATCAGAGTAATGAGTATGAGTATCGCTGTAATTTGAATCATCTGATATCCTGTTGGTAGTAGAATAACCTGAATAATTCGGTCGATGCGGGTCATATTCTTGGTCGTAAAGAGTATTGAAATTTCTTGAATAGTTTATGCGCGCTGTTGGTTCATAGTTCGGTTGATATTTTTCTATAATTTCCATGATTTCCATTTTCGCTTTGGTCTTCATTACAGCAGGGATATTTTGAAATCTGTCGAGGAGGGATAAAAGAAACAGTCTGTCACAATTTGAATCATTCTGTGTATCTGTCTTCTCTATTGTCGCTATGGTCTTATGCAGAACTGAAATTAAAGGGTCTGTATCGGATTCTTCGTTTGGTATTTTTTTCTTCCTTTTTGTTCTAAGCGACTTTGATGCAGACTGTTGAGTCTCAAGATCAGAAGATTCTGTTGTTGCGTTTGTGTCCAGCACTGATCTCAAAAACAGTAATTGGTTGAAATAGGTGTATTGACTTTTACGTTTTGCAGCAGAACCACTTTTGACATCTTTAAGACGGCGCAGCTCTCTTGTGAAACAGTCTCTAAGGTTTTTCCATCTTTTTTGGAGAGTCATGCCTGTAAATCAATAAATAAATGTAGTACATATTACAAAACTAATATTATGTTTATTAATGTGATTTTTATTTTCAGGTATTTGGCTACTGGATGTTCTTTATCTCATATAAGTCATGAATACCGTATAGGGCTTCCTACAGCATCGGAAATAGTATTTGATGTTTGTGAAGCAATACGGGAGATATTAAAACCAATTGTGATGCCACAATTGACCAGAGATAAGTGGATTCCGGCTGAAGGTTTTAAAAAATACGCCCAATTTCCTAATTGCATCGGAGCCATCGACGGCAAGCACATTAGAGTTATCAAACCACAACATTCGGGATCTCTTTATTACAATTACAAGAATTATTTTTCAATCGTGTTACTTGCAATATGTGATGCAAATTATTAATTTTCTTTACGTAGACATTGGAGCATACGGCAAATGCAGTGATTCGTCAATTTACAAAGACTCTGTATTTTATCATAGGCTTTTAAATAATGATCTCGATATTCCGAGCAATAATCCCATCAAAGAAAATGGCCAACCAATGCCGTTCATTTTAGTGGGTGATGAGGCGTTTTCACTATCGGGACATATGATGCGACCGTATACTGGGAGAAACTTGAATAATGTAGACTAATTTTAATTATCGACTATCCCGTGCCCGCCGCTATATTGAATGTACATTTGGAATATTAGCCAATAAATGGCAGATTCTTCACCGACCCCTAAACGTCAAGAAAGAATTTGCAGTTGTGATTATAAAAGCTCTATGTGTGCTTCATAATTATGTGCGAGAAAGAGACGGATATGATTTCAAGGACACGTTCACTGTACCAGAGGCTTTTTTAGAAATACCTGCAAGTTTACCTAATAGAGCAAATAGAACATCAACCGAATATCGAGATATATTCGCAAACTACTTCAGTACCGATGGTCGCTTGCTCTGGCACAATTTCTAAATATATGGGTGCGTACCTACGACGGCTGCTCAGTTTGTGCGTTGAGGCACTTGCTCGCCGCGAGCCGCGATTGCGCGCCGTAAACAAAATGGCGTAGAACGCACATACGGTATGAGTAATCTTTTTTAAAAAGTTATTCCAATCATTACGAAAACCTGGTAAATTTTAGCAAATAATTGTCCGAACTCATGTGCAAAGCGAAAAATAGTAGAAATAAAATAGTTATACTTTTGACAATTACCTATTTGCTAAAATTTCTTAGATTTTAAATGAATGGAACAACTTTTTAAAAAAATCACTCATGTTACATATACGATCGTGTCGAACGCTATTACAGCACCTGCTGCGTTTATTGTAGTTCATCGCATTATTAATTTAAGGCATAATAAAATAAAAGACTAACCAAGTTCTGCCTTTTCTTTATCTTCCATGGATTCACCGCCAAATATATTGATCAGTTCAAGTTAAATATATATTACATAATATATTATACATCTTTGTTTGATACAACTGGTTTCAAGAAAATGCCTTACAAGCTGCCATAGTTTAATGTTTTATTTATTGTATGAAATTTTACAAATTCTAATTTAATTTTTAAAAAATGAAATCTCCCTAATCCCTGGAAAAATTGTATCGTTATGCGCCAAACATTCTGTATATTAAAATCCGTGAAAATGGTTTTGTTCAATGTGTAGTGTTCGCGTAAACATAAGAAATTATTATTACTATTTTGATTAGTGGATACTGAATCTGTAGTCCTAATGGGAAGCGTCCATCCACTAGGGTCGTTGCAAATAGGTTTTACCCCTGGAATAAAGTGGAATGCCGAATAGACCGTAATTGTAACCACTTATTCTTAGTGGCATTTAAATATATTGAAGAAATGGACATTACATTTGAATTGGGTCAAATTAAAAACAATGTTGAAGTTGTGGTCTGATGAGGTATTAGTAAATTATTTTTCTTTTAATTTAAAAAAAGGTATTAGCCAAGGGAGTCGTAAAAGCTCAAAGGTTAATTACTCTATTAAAAGTCGCATGACACGAACAACACGGATTCGATTCCCGCCGATACATATGGAATGATTAATTGCATTTTTAACTACTTATTTATCACATGCTTGATAGTGAATATAATGAGGAAACCTGGATGTCTAAAACACCATGTGTGTAGTTTAGACGCGGTAGAAATGAAACCTTCAGAAAATTATACTTCGATAGAATGAGACGAATACATAGTATCAGAAGTAGGATAAAAACAGGATTTATGTAATTAAAATCCAAATAAATTCTATCTCATTCTCTAGCAGGCTAAATCCTATAAGTTATTATTTTTTAATTACTTTTTAAAAAAACACTAGGATTTTCTCCTGTATCGTGGAGGCAGTTTACATACATAAATTGCACAAGGACACACATCCAGATCCGGAACAATTATTTGTAGGCCATACAAATATCTTATGTTTATATGCATGTTCCGTGCGGGATTCGAATCCGCGGCCCTCAGCGCTATAACTCATTGCTAAGCTACTGCGCCACGGAGCCGTCAGTTTAGTGGCACTTTTTTGTTTCATGAGTTTCAAGTCCCAGTTTTATTGAAGTTTTCGCTTCAAACATATTTGAAATTTTAAAATATTTGAAGGATATGTGAAGTCAGCCAACACGCACTGAAAAACATGACGGAACAATTTTCCCATCTCTTGGTTAATTTGTGGTAGAGCCCCGCTGCGGCTATATTATGGTTGTAGCACGAATGCGCCGGCTGCACTGGGATGAGACCACGCTCTCACAGAATACCTGCGTAAAATAGCAGCGTAATGATGCGGTGGTTCGTATGGTGAGTGTAGAGAACCGGAGACCCTTTTAACTGGAAACGAGGCATTCCATATTAGTTCTCAGGGGTGACAACGCATCTAAGTTTTGATTCTTAATCGATCATAGATGTAGATGTCTATGGGCCACAGCATCCACTTACCATCTATGTGCTCATTTGTCACCCTTATTCTATAAAAATATAATAAAAATATTTTAATGATTACAGGCAGCCTCAAATAGACACCGAAGGTGCCGGCGACGGCCAGAGGAAACGGAAACCCCGGAAGGAGTAAAATAATATATTTTTTCACTCGACAACTAGAAAACTCCTAATTTATTGAGAAACAACTTGAGGTACAAATATTTAACCTTCCTTTCGATATATTTTTCTCATATACATTTCCACATAAATATATCGCTCGTAATAAATACATGATATGTATTAATAGGTTTACATTTTTTATTAGTCACAAATACAAATTCAAGGATCTTGCGTTATGTATTATATATGATACTGATTATAAAATATTACAAAATGTAACAAAAATTAGAACTCTTTTTGTGTATTTATTTACTAGTAATATTCCAGTTCCTTGTATAAATTTTATGCAAATATAGGATAGCAAATATAAGATATATTTATGTCGTAGCTACTCATACATTTGGATACTACTTGGTACATTCATAAGTAGGTTTGTCGTTTGCCTAATCCAAACAAAAAAGTTTGCAATGTTTATATCGTAATTTATTCTCATAACTATACACTGTACTGTAAAACCTAGAACATCCAAAACGCTCAATAACATAAAACTCGATTAGTTTACTATTGAAGGTGAGTTGTATGAGTTAAAAATAACCAGCCTATAATGTTCAAATTTTGAATATGTACCTCTGTTAGTTTCCATGAGTCGTTTCATCATTTTAATATTTTTTATTTGTGACTATCTGAAACCATAAGTCAATAAATTAGGGTATGTTTTAAAATTCAGTTGTTATCAAAACGAGTCCTAAGGCTATTTTTGTGGATTTGTCGTATTATCGAAATTTCGTATGCAGATACAATCAGTAAGACCAATAGGTGTGAGCGTGAGGACTGATGCTGTGTATTTGTCATGGACTCATTTGACATTGGCTGCTATAGATAATGTAAGGTCTTGGTCGAGGGTAGTTACTGGCGGTAGTCTCCTCGGTTGCTGTAACGTGTAGTTTTGTTCGCTGTATTATTTGTTGTGTTGCGTAATTTTGTTAGATTCGTTGACTGAATACTTAGGACATTCGCAGACTTGCGATTTCTAGTTTCTATTTGAACATGATAGTAAGTGGATTGTAAATTAACCAAATATGAATATTTTTGGTTTTTCTCAATATTAATGAAATTTCTACAAAAATTTGTAGTTTCTTGTATAAAGGTACAGTTAAAACAATTGTCCGTGGACTGCCTTAAATGTAATTTCTATCTATTTCTTTCTTACCTACCAAAGATCACGGTGTATTCTTTCCTTTTTAGTTGTGAACAAATGCTGAGCCAGATGTATTCATTTGTTTTTATTATTTAAGAATAAGAGGAGTTAATATAATAATATTGCGTAGCGCTTGTAAGATATTATTCAATGTTGTTTACTTTAGTTGCAGAGTGTAATGTTTATGATTGTTTCAAAGCTTCCGTTGCTGAGAGGGTAGTTGGTACCATTAATAAATTACTAATACCATATTATAATTTATAATTGCTACTTTTAGTGGTGTCTCAAGACGTGATTAACTTTTGGTTTCAAGTTGAATTCGATTTTTATTAATTAAAAAATACAAACCAACAAGTATAATAAACAATGACGCCATTTAATGGTATCCCCATACAGTAGTTTCGTTTTGGCAACTCATAAAGAGTATTTTAATTGGGTTACCCTAAAAGTGCTTCTATAAAATATGTAGATCGTATTAGTGGCATACATTTGCTAAAATAAATAATTAACTGACTAAAATTAACGTCAAATTTACGTTACGTGTCCTCGACGTTGGTAATTTTTGTTGTTATAATTACTTGTTTGAGTTAAAAAAAGATAAAGACTCGTAAATATTAACTGTAGTATAATTATATATATATATATATATATATATATATATATATATATATATATATATATATATACCATTTCCTCCGTAAGTATTTTAAAGCATACATTAATATTAATATTGTATAATATAGAAAGGTATTCTTTTATTTCATATGATGCAAATTGATATCATATTTTTATTCTGTTGACAATTTGATCTTACTCAAATAACCTGAGGTAATTGAGCAAATTTGAGTTTTGAATTAAAAACGCACTTTTTTCAGGATTGACATTTTTATTGTGGTTCATGTCAAAAATACGAAATGATTACATTTGCCGAAATTTTTGCTATAAATTGTAGATAATTAATGACTGCCTGGCAACACTGCTATCTAATGATATGATACCTAACAGTATCTATGAGACATGAATTGTTTTATACTAACTTACTATGCTCATTGTCTGCTTTTGTTTTAATTTTACCATGGTAACCGGATGTTGTCAGGGTTGTGTACATACACTTAGGAACATTATTGTACATTATTGTTTTCTTTAATAATTTATTTTAGCTTGCTGCTGAACCCTGAACATATTTAATGTTATCAATCTAGCGACAATGGTTTATATGTCATAATAATTATAATTAAATGAGCTCATATAATCTAATTCAAATCTGTTTTCGTTTTTACCTTATATTTATATTAATATTGGAATAGGGTTGCCAGTTGAAAGACACTGTATTTTGTCCAAATATGTATTATATTGGTACCATATCTTAAATATTTACCATGTATTGTATACCTTTACAAAAATACTTGAATTGGTGGGGTTTATGTTAAAAACAATACCATAATTCGTTGTTATTTTGTAATCTTGTATAATTGTAAAAAAGAAGCAGCTGTAATGTTTGTTAAAATGAAAATTTGTATGAAATTACACAATTTAGTGTTCTTGCGAAATATTATTTCCTTTATTTTGTTTTTTACATTTAAACTTCAAGTATGAATTATATGTACATTGACAGTTAGAGAATTGTCTTAGTATTTATGTTTGTCCGCGAGGAAGATTTTGTGTGATAGGGACAAGTCGATGAACTGGCATTTATGGTTAATAATAATTAAATAAACTATTTCTAAATTATTGTTTTATTTCTAAGTTTTAATAAACGTAAAATCTTTGTATATAAAATTACGTGTCACTTTGTACGCGATGAACTCGCTAAATTACTGACTGAGCTAGATGAAATGTAAAAATATATGAGAAAAAACGACTATGGTAAATGTCCTTTAATAATTTGTGTTGGGTCATCGTCATCTTACATGGTGGCACTAAGGAATTGCGGAGCAGAAGAGCTGTGGTCTTGTTTTTCAAGATCGACAACGGTCGCTTGAAGAACTACAGACAGACTGTTTTCGATAGTCTTTACGAATCGTCTCACAAGCACACTCGACGACCTACAGCCTCCCGTACAAGCCGGTTATTGAAAAGGATATAGCACCATAGAACACATACATACCCTTCGGCAAATTGTACAGAAGTCCGAAGAGTACAATATGCCACTTTGTCTTGCGTGTATGTAGACTATGAGAAAGCCTTTAACTCCGTCGAAATTTGGGCGGGCGGGAATTTGGGGTTGATTGTCGTATATCGAAGTGCTGAAGTGTTTGTACAATAGGGCTGCGGCATACAATGGCTATCCGAGTACAGAACCACAGTACGAAACCTACCCAACTGCAGAGAGGTGTAAGACAGGGTCACGTTATATCCCCGAAACTTCACCGCTCCATTGAAAGAAGTTTTCGAGCTTCTGGACTGGAAAGGATACGGTATTAACATCAATGGCGAGTACATCACTCACCTTCGATTTGCCGACGATGTACCTAGTCCTTATGACAAAATCGCTGGAGGACGTCAGTCTTATGCTCAATAGTGTCTCCCAACCAGTGGCGGCCCTAGCAAAATCTTAAGTTGGTGCGAGATCTCATAGTGGCGCCCCTCTAAATACAAAACCTTAGTGATTAGTATTAGACCTGTCAAATATCTACAGGTGTATATGCGCGGCAAGCACAGTTGTGTTGGCGCTCTTGCCATATCAGTTGCTCTGTTTATTAATTTTGTCCATTCCACTCGCACTACTCTGTTGCGCTCGACGACGCCACTATGTTTGCCTTGCTGCGGTCACTAGTTGTACGAATTGTTTCTCTGTTGTTCTGCAGGCAGTGTTAAAAAAGATAAAGGAACTACCAACGACAAACTAAGTGAAAAGCCTAGATGGGCAGCAAAAAGCTTATGCGCTGACAATTTTTTTTATTAATGCGAAATAATTTAACTTCTGGCCAATAGATTTTTGGAATGGAATGGAATGGATGGAAAAGATTCCAAGATATGACGGTCTTTCCTGGCATATAGTAGAAAACTAGGTAAATTTTTAAATATTTTAATGTACTAAAATTTCGTTTCCGTTTACCGACAGTTATAGTATAGGCATAGTCAGCAAGACGCAGTGCTGTTTACACATATGGGAAAATATCCTGCCAATCATTATTTTAATAAGTCTGAAAACTTTATGTGGCTCTGCTGATTGAAGATCTTTAAATAATGGGTTCAAGCTCATAAGTTCCTGAACCAATTTACAATTAGACAAATAACGCTATGTCCATCTGTTCAACTGATTTGCAAATCAACACAAGCTTTTCGACCTTTCAGTAATTAATTTCATTTTCTATAAAAATGAATACGTATCATAGAATTTTGATAGTTTAAGTCAAGTACTGCCGCGTAGTGGCGGTTGAGAATATCCACTACCCCATATCTTCCCGTGGGTAATATAAGAGGCGACTGAGGGAGACAGACAGACAGGAAGTGGGCAGCAGCATCTTATTAATAACAACAATAATATAATAAAAAAACCGCGGTTGCCAACCCGCTAGCCAAGCGTGGCAACTCTGGCAAATATCCCCCCATGAGCAACGACGCAAACAAACGACCCCCAGTCCCCAGCGGCCCCTCTATTTCTGGCTACGGTGGCGACCATGATAACGGCGGAGCAGGGAGTGCTAAGAATCTCCGGTGGAGGTTCGGTTGCCACCTACGACCTGGCAACATATAACGCACGCACCCTGAGGACTGACGAGAAGATACTCGAGCTGGAAGAAGAAGTAGACAAGTTGCGCTGGCATATTATTGGATTATCCGAGGTCCGAAGAGAGGGGGAGGACACGGTAATTCTCGAGTCCGGCAAC